GAAGGCTTACCAATTTAGTGAGGGGCAATCGGTATTGTTACGGGTTCCCAAGGTGTCGCACCCAGGTCTAAAATTATATGCAAATTTTTTTCCTTTATACAAGGGGCCGTACATTATAGACCAGGTCACCGACAAGAATGTGGCTAGATTGTTGAACGACAGGCACGAGGTGGTAGGACATTATAATTTTCACAATTTGAGACCATGTCCTACACGTGACGACAATATTCAAAACTAGGCAAAGGTATATTACCTGTTTTGTATAGAAAACTGGAGAGATGATTAAAGTTGTCTTTATTTTATTAAACTGAATTTGTATTTGTTACAGTATTTTGGAGAGTCATTTGTATGTCTTAGTGTATAAACATTTAGTTCGCAAGAAAGTTTTTTTGTAATTGTATATGTAAACATAGTCTTAGTATAAGATGATCATGTACTAATTTGATGTTGTGAAAACTATTGCACTTGATAAATCACATATTGTATAAGATTGCTATAATTGTTGGCTTAGATTATATAAGTCATTAGATTTTTTGGCAAGAAAAATCCGAAAAAATGGCGGAGAGGGTGATGAAACGAAGAACGTTTCTGTAATTAGAACAATTACAATGACCACCAATTATAAATTAAAATAAAGTACTGGAGTTGATCAGCGGCAGTAAGCGCGCGCGCCACGCTCAAATCGGGGGGAAACGGCGAAGCGAGCGACGGTTATGTGGCGGAGAGGCTCGACGTGAAGCAGGAGGGGCAGTGCTGCGTGCCAAGAGATTTATTGTGTTGGGTTAAGTGGGACATTCGGACTGAGTGTGGCCGTTGAGGTGTGGAACCAGGTTTAATAGGATTAACAATATCAGATGAATTAGTGGAAGTAGAAGTGGCGCACCAGAATGAATAAAAACGCAATAAGAACAGGAAATCGTGTGGCGGTGGGCTCGTGGTCATTTCCCCGCCCTGGTTATAATATAACAGTGGGCAGTATGTACGGACATCGCGCAAAGTTGAGAAAGGTCGCTGGAAAAGACTAGAACAGCCGAGAACATAAATCATCGCGTTGTGCGTTCCAATACCTGTGAAAGCATTGTCACACCGGCTGGGAGTGGACGCTGGGAATTCATCGGCCGTTCCGTTGGGGCAGAGGAGTTGGTCGCCGGGGAGGGCGAATTCGGGGACTTCGGGGACGAACCGAAGATTGCCGAAGACCGCGCCGCGTTGCGAGACGTCCCGTCGCCTCCAGAGGGAAGCAGGTAGTCTTTTTAAACCCATGAAGGTAGCGGTTGACCGTATGCACGATTGTTTCCAAAGGCCTGCGCATTGCGATTTGGTAAATACTATTTGTAAAGTGTGTCTCTGATCATTAAAATATTAGATGTGCAAAGAATTTATACGATTATGTTCCTATTGCTGCGCCAAATTCCTGGAGACCATTCACAAAATGTACCTGTCTGCCTTGCATAATTTATTCTGTCGTGACAGAACGCTTCCAGTACGTCACATATTATAATATATATATATATATATATTTATAATTATGGTGTAATTATGTTATTACGGTACAATTTAAAAAAGTATCGTCCATACAGGGCAAGGTTGAGCCAGATGGGGCGAGAATACCAGGCTCTATTTCTTGCCAAATAGGCCTCCAATTGACAGGTATCACAACTTTGCTGTTTCTAACTTGCAGAAATCGCAAGATGATACTGGAAAGTCTCGCTTTATAAAAATGATTCATTTTAGCCCAAAGAGCCATGATGAATGTGCATAATTAGTGTGGGATTGCCTTATCGAGTATTGTTGGTATTGTTTTGTCGCCGGGTTTTAGTTAATACTGACCGTGACGACGTAAGTTAATATGTCAGAAGCTACATATTAGAAGAAAACATTCCGTAAGTAGCGCTTGTGTATATTACTGTTTGCGTGAGATATCATGTAAAGCAGTGACGGCTGGTGTCCCTGGAGGTTATATCTCCATCGAATGACGGAAATGTAATTTCCAAAATTCAAAATACGAAAGTATAATAAAAATGTAAGCAATTCAATTTAATTAAATCTAAGTTAAATAAAAGTCTATATTGAATCATTACTTTCATATTCATACGGCGTGACCGAGTCAGCTACATTTTAGACCTCCCGCGCACGTGGTTTTGGCTTTGGATTTTCACTGGATACATAAGTTCGACTCCGTCACATCGCAACGAGCACTATTGCTTCAACACGTTTTACACAAATAAAATAATTTTATTTCTAAAATATGACTACCGTGGTATATTTTTAAGAAAGATCCTTCCACACACTCGCTCATATTCCACCAGCGCTCTCCGAGGTGTAACTGCAGCCTGCTGCATCTACTGAGAAAGGGACTTCCTTCCAAATCGGTCAACTTCACGCAAATAATTTATCAAGTGTACGTTTTAAATCAGTAATTTTAGTATCAAATGAAAACAAATTCTCTAAACATCATAACTAATGAATGAAATGCCGTAAATAATTGAATGTACTTGTGTACTTTCAATGACATGCGAAATTCATAAAATTTCGTTGCAGCGAGTCAGTCGAAGATAGAATTTTGGTATTCCCCTGAGACCTCCTCCATCACCGCGCAGCGCTAGACAGCGCCTCCCGTCTGATTGCGCAACCAAAAGGCCCTATGTTGCCCGTACTAAATCGAAAGGCCAAAGAGTAAATGCAATAAAATCAGTAATACAGCCAAGATCCAAGAGCGTGGTGCATTACCTGGCAAGGCACCAGACACCGGAGAGTGGCAGTTGGACGCTCTTTGGTTTCAAAACGATTTCATATACTTTTATATTGCTGCTATATATTGAATGTCATTAAAAGGAAAATGTAAATTCCTAAGAGATCTTTTTCGATTACATCTAGAGGTTGTGCAACCTAAGCGCGTGCCGCCACTGATGTGAAGATTAAAACGAAAATACTTCACGGGGTGAGATTCTGCCATCGCTTCTGATCTACTTTTCCGGTGTATTTCGCATTTTCCAGACATGGTTTGTGTTCACATCAAAAAACGTAGTGAAAGACATATGCGCAGCACAAGTAAAGAGAAATACAAATTTAAATGTGCCCCCAGGTAAAGGCAGAACTGCTGAGGATGTGGAATGTATCCTCAAACCCTTGGGTTCATTTGAGAATATCTTGGAAAACGTCTGGTCATATAATATCCGTGTGACAGGTAATGAGGATACAACTGTATCTCTTCAAGATTGGGTTGGTGATTAAGTGATTGTTGAGTACACTGGTCGCTTTTCCTCAGGCAAAATTTTCTCTTATTTTGACACACAAGTGAGGCCAATATTGTAGGATTGTAAACATCAGAAAGCATTGGTTATAGCCTGATGAATGAGATGAAATTTGGTATTCAAGAAATCGCGTGAAGAGAAAGATTCCTCCATTTAAAACAATTGGAAAATCTAACATGTATTATGTAGACATGAAATCTCAATTCTGAGATGGTGTTAAGGGTTCATCCCACTTGACGATATAGTAAATTATTATTATTATATGATTTGACAACTTCTGGATCAATGACTCCCATCTCAATCAGTTTTTTCGTCCAATTTCCCTGATTCCTTGAGTAAATGTTAAGATGGCCCCTTTTTTCTTCTGGCCATACTCAATTACTCGTGCAATTTTTCTTGAACGATGACCTTGCTTCCCCTTCTCTAGCACAAGAAACAGTTGAAGGCAGTAGCTCGCAGCGAGCACTGATGACATTCGAAAATGTCATTGGCGTAAAATATAAACTATTTTCTGTTGAAGACGAGAACTTCTGTCCACGATTTTCTCCAAAAATCAAAAACAATGACTGCAGAACTTGAAGATCCATCACAGGAGATGCCTCAAACTCCTAAGAAAGTTGCGAAGGTACGACTGATTCTCCAGAGATTGACATGATTACATAAAATCTATTGGCTGATTTCGTAACTAATACCCCCACTCTACCTGTATTTCTTCAATCCATCGTTCAAGAAAAGTTGGGCGAGTAATATCTGTGCGTCTTCTCGAGTTCAGTGGGAAATATTGTTCAAATTGTTATTTAAATTTTTGTTTATGTCGCGGTAAACGTATATTCCTGTACGAAGGACATGATGAAGGATAAGAACCCAAATTTATAGCAGATTTGCCTTTGAAAATATATTTTATTACTTCGGAGTGAATTTTTTTGTTAATAATTGTTAACAAGAAATATTCTTGCCAAAAATGCTCATTTCTTTCTGTATTGAGAATTCGACTTGCATATAATTTAGGGTAGGAACCCTAGAATTAACAAAACGTGCACAGAATACACTCCTCGTGGCACGTCTTATAGTTTTTAACTGTTTTTTGAAGTAAATTAAATAAATAATGACCACTACACTGTGTACATATCCCTTCCGTGTGACGAGATAGGCCACCCAACACTTTCCCGCCAAAGGATTGTGACGTTTTGCACTTCCGAAGAAGGTTCATTTTGAAAGGGATTCGTGAACCGATTCATTTGAACGGCTGGTGAGCATATTTCCCATCTGTCTCTGGTTAATACTTAATAGAGAACCGTAGAGAACTGTGTGTGTGTTCTGTGGTTTACGTTGTGTGCCAATGTGTTCGAAAGTGTTAATGTATATGTACCGGGATGTGATTGATTTGAAGTTTGAGTTGGAGCTAACCCTGTGAAGCTGGGATATTCTGCACGCGTGAATGAGTAATATTATCCTGTTCTTTCCTACCGGTGCAATGAGAATTTGAGTTACTATATTGGTCTACGTTGGAAATGATATGGCCTGAAGACTGCCTAAGTGTCGATTTGTGAATATAAATGTGCTTCTTGTAAGGAAAAGGAAAAACTTGCTGCTTGGCGAGTGTAGGGCAGAGAATTGAGTGAACGAGGATAATGTGCAGAAAAAGTGACATTTGCATTTAGCAGGGTTTGTACAAACGAATGATTTCAGGGATTTGGTTAACAAACGAAAATCGTTAATGGATTGATTGTGTTCTCGGAATAAACAATGCCAGGAGCTATATTAGAAAATTTGAGTGGTCGGAAACTCAGTATTCTTATTAGTTTATTGCTAATCTGTCAAGTAGTATGCTTTCTCATTGGTGGCTTCATTGCTCCTCCACCATCTCATGCTGAACGAATGTTGGCCACTCAATGCTTAGATCAAGGCAATAATTCCAAGAATTGGTTTTATTCTCGAGGGAAAGGCAGCTGTGCTTTATTCCGTGAATATGATAAAACCAGTTTGGATCATAGAATGCAAGCTAATAACATAGTATTTGTTTTTCAATTTCCTTTACCAAAAGACAACATGACTCATGATTATTCACGCTGGCAACAGAATTTAATTGGTGTGCTGGAACCAGAAATTACTTATCAACCTGAAGCAGAAATGGAACAGAGAATCACTTTAACTTTGAATGTCAAACTTGGATACAGAAATAAAGGTGACTCGGATGATGCATGGAAACCCCTGGCAGCATCATCTGATGAGAAGCGTATTTTAGATTGCTCTATCACACATAAGAAACCTGGTTACTATTACAATTGCTCAGATATTCCTCTTCTTGAACTGGGTTCACTGCATCATGATTTTTATCTTTTGAATATCCGTTTACCAGTAGATAATGATAAGCAAACCAATCAAGGATTAGGACATGTTCATGGACTATGGCTTGTTGCTATTCACCAAAATGGTGGGTTTACAAAAGTGTGGGTTTCTTTAAAAACAGTTTTTTTCCCTATAGTGGTTGCAATTATGATATGGTTCTGGCAAAGAGTTCATCAGTTGTCACGATCTCCAGCCTTACTCGAGTATATGTTACTCTTCCTGGGTGGAGCTTTAACTTTCCTTAATGTTCCACTGGAGTACTTGACTCTTTATGTGGATATGCCATTTATGGTCTTACTTGGTGATATTCGACAAGGAATTTTCTATGCTGTGCTACTTTCATTTTGGCTAGTATTTGCCGGAGAACATTTAATGATACAAGAATCTGCTGAACAGAGGACTCTTAAGTCATATTGGAAACATTTAAGCGCAGTTGCGGTAGGTTGTTTTTCATTGTTGGTATTTGATATTTGTGAAAGAGGATCACAGCTTGTAAATCCTTTCTACTCTATTTGGGTAACAGAACTAGGTACGAATCTCGCCCTCTCGTTTATTATTTTGGCTGGTATATCAGCAGGAGTGTATTTCATTTTCTTAGTATACAGAATTTGGGAAGTGTTTTATAACATTAGTGCTAAACGTGCTGTTCTACCAAGTATGTCCAGTGCTCGACGACTGCATTATCAAGGTGTTATTTACCGTTTTAAATTTTTGATGCTAGCAACTGTACTATGTGCAGCTATGACTGTGGTAGGGTTTATCCTTGGACAAGTCTCTGAGGGCCATTGGAAATGGGATGATGATCATGAATTAGAATTCACTTCTGCTTTTTTCACTGGTGTTTATGGAATGTGGAACATTTATATATTTGCACTAATAGTTCTGTATGCCCCATCTCACAAACAATGGCCATCAGAAACTGATGTCCGTGGCAATTCCAGTGAGGAAATTGAGTTTAGTCGTTTGGCTACTGATCCAAGTGAAATATCATCTCTCACATCATTTGCAAGAAAAACTGCAATGGATTGAATTTGGAGTCTGTGTTCTTCCTATTTGTAGTATATTTCAGAATTAACTTTTTTTTACACTAAATAACCAACTTCTACTGGTTTTTGTTGTTAATGTCAAAAAACTGTGGTGAGTTTTATGTTATTGACACTTATTGTTCAGTTCTGCTGTTTGTTGTTTGTGAATTTGTTGACATAAGAAACTTCTCTGACAGTATTGATTTTGGCACATAGTTTTATCAATTTATTTTTTAGATCATTTACTAATGTTTTTTGGTAAAAAATGGATTTTTTAATATTACTGATTTCCATTATGAAAATTAGTTCTTTAATATAGTTTCAGGATGTGGAATATCATTGCTCTCATTGCAATATTATAACTTGCCTTTGAACCAGATCGACCACAATGTATATTTTTGAAAATCATTTTAAAACTGCATTATTTCTATGTACAGTTTGGGAATTTCTTCTAGGTATTATGGAAAAGCCAAAATAGTATTAATACATTTTGTTACAAATTATTTTTAGATTTATTTTTGGTATATAGTGACCTAATACAACAAGTGATTGATGTTTGCAAGATGTTGACGATTTTCTATGAAAACCACATTTATGGCGCTAATGGTTCACTGAGTACTAAAATTTTGTTTTTTTATTGATGGTCGTCCACACTTAAACAAGAGTAAGGATAAAGTATTATTAGCAGTATTATTAACTGTTTTGCAAATCATACATTCACTATGTAAGTTGATAAAAGTTTGGTTTTCATTTGAATTGTAGAAACATAGTGAAATGTTAATGGAATGATAAGTGGTATGCATATGAAGAATTTTGCATTTTATATTATTTTGTATTAAGATTATTTTAATTTTTTGTTTTCTAAAGACTGCTATTTAATTAACTAAATTAGTGTAAATGGGTCAAGAAAAATCTGCAATGAAGGAATTCAGAGAGGTCTAGTTAATTTTGATATCTTGCCGACTTATTGACTTCTTTCAGTTTCATATGATTTTTTGTACATTCTTTATGTTGGCCTCATTTTTAAAGAGCAAGTTAATGAGGAAAAGAACATTGTGCAATGTTGTGAAAGAAAAGTTCATTCTCTAACAAGGAAACTTATTTATTAAGAATTGCTTTCTCATTGCTTTTCTCTGTGATTTTTACAGTTTTTTACTTCATTATTTTGCCTGAGTTTTCTACTACTTTCATCTACTTTTGTAGATGTTATATTTACCTTTTTTTATAATGCACAATATTTTTAAGTGCATAATGTTGAAGTTGACATTTTGCTAATATAATGGGTGGTCAATTGGGAGAGATTTATTCCTTGATTGATGAATGAACAGAAAGGATTATTGACTGCAAGTGCAGATAGACATTGAATATCTTGTGACATCATGATATTTTTTTTTTTTCCCCTGAATTAATCATGGTTTAGAAGAGTTTTTCATGCATGCAAACACTTGTATGAATATTGTGTTATCAATTCTTTCTGTGAGAAACAATTTATGGTTAAAGTAGGTTGGATGGTAGGTAGGCAGTAAGTTGGTGAAAATTTTTTTTCTCCAGCATGTGTGAGTTACGTAAAATTTATGATCTACTGTTGCCAAATTTAATATTTGTTTTTAGAACATTGAAGTAAATTAGTGTGGGTTATATATGTTACAGCTAATGTCCAAAACTGGCTAATTTGAGAAGTAACCTGTTAATGTTTACATCACAAATGGATGGACAAAGTCCAAGGTAGATAGTGTTGAAAGTTACTTCGTACTTTAGCTGGATAATGTGCATGTTTTGCCAACATGAGATGGTTAGAATGGGTGAAATGCATTAGGGTGATGAGGAATAGAATATAGTATGGGACACGCCAGACTCCTGATGAGAAGTTTTTAAAGCTACTGAGAGACTAGGTGTGCAGTTAAGAGTTCCACTGTGTCCATAATAAATTTCTTTTTACAAGACATCTAACCTAACACCTCTGTATACTTCATTTGTTATTTGCTCAGTATTTCCAAGTTAGGGTAACAAGGTTCTGGCCCACGACCCTTGTGATTTACATAGAAGATTTAGTATGTGCAATGCATAACTTCCAAAGTGTTTTTGTGCCAAAATACTTAGCGTGGACACATACACACACAACGCCTTGGACAGTTACCTTTCTTTAGCCAGCTCTAAGGCTAATTTGTGAATAGTTGTTTTAATTATTATAATAATAATAATAATAATAATAATAATTATTATTATTACAATTATTATTATTATTATTATTATAATTATAATAATTATTATTATTATTCAGCCTCATGGAATTAGCCAGGTAATGTCCGATATGATTCGTTCATCGCAATTGGTAGAGCTTTATCCAAACTGTCTGGCTAATATGTGAATTAATTGGCTTATTTGTAAATTAACAGCATTTTGGACATTATATGTAGCATAAAAGACTGATCAAATTTAAAATATAACATTGTGAGTGAAAATATGTGCTTTATCTGTACATTTGTCAGTCTCGGAGGATGCACAAGTATGTATAAGCTTCAATGGAATGCAAACTAAAGTGTCCTGTAGTTGTGAAATAGCTCTGTTAGATCGTACAGTTTCTTTCTCGTGGAGAAACTCGATTGAATATTGATGATTTTTTTTTAAAGAGTTTTTAGTTTTTAAATCAGATTTTGAATGTTGTCATGGGATGTAATGTAAATTGTGTTCCTTGTATGTAACAACACTTACAAGTTCGCTTTTTAAAAAACTTGTATATAAGAAGTTTGCTTTATTTACTCAGTATTATTGTCTTGTATTTCAGTTTGCTTGTGTCCATGCTACTAGTAATTGGAAAAGTATTAGTTTACTCTGTTATTCAGTTTTTGTCATTTGCTCTGTGATTTTTAAAAGAAAGTTCTTGTTTGTGTAGTAAACGCTATGAATGTGTTTTGAATTGTATGAAAAGGCAGAATGTAGTTCACATTTTTTCACGCAAACACTAAGTGTACTTTCGTATAATTTAAGGAGTTTCATAATACGGAATTTCAGAAATGTACTAAGTATAAACATTTTTAACAAAAGGTACTGACACATGCTGTAATATTGGTGGCAGTTTAATAATGTAAGAGTGTTGAAAGTACTTAACTTCTGTGTGTAGGTGCTATGACAAACTCTTCAACTCATTTGTTCTTTAATAAATAGTCAGAAAGTATAATTTCTTGTGAGAACAAATGACTGATTTACCAATGCATGTCTAGAGTGTATAATTATATTTGTTGGAATTTTAGGTAGCAAGATGCTTTAATACAACCTTGTAATTATATCTTACGTGTTTACAAAGTTATGCCATGTATTACAAGTTTGCCACAGTGCTTTTTGTGTATTGAAAATATGTGGGCTTTAATTCTACATTATTTATATGTGTAATAAATTTTGGAACGTGAAACTGAAATTTGCAAATATATTGAAATTTTCTGAGGACAATAAGTGGCGAAATTTATTTGTCATTTCAATTTTGCTATACTACTTGAATACCTTTAAATTATTGTGTTTTTTTCCCTCTCGTATGTAATCCAGCTTGATTTTTGTGATTGTATTTGGAAGTTGGTATGAAGATAGTACAGTGGACTTATATAATTTGAATAAAAGTTTCTTCCTATTGAAACTAACATTATATATTTATAAGTTTGTTTGCATTTTATAATGTTACATTTAAATTATTCAGATTCTAGTATATTTTTTGTATTAAAATTTGTAATATTAAGAAAGTTATAAATTATTATGAAAAAAACTTTTCTTACTTTTGGAAGGAGACGTCTACGATGACTCATGAAATCTTAAATTTCTTATGTAGTGGGCATATGGCAGTGATCATAGGATGCATGTTACTGACAACTCATTTCATATTGTGAATGGTGGAAAGACTGTTTCATGTGAAAAAAAGCAAACCAAAGTAAATAATGACACATTTGTTTCCATAAAATATGCTCTCGGTTGTAAGTGGATTCATGTCAGTGGGGTCATTTCATGATTTGGCCTTTTTCGTTTTTAGTGACAATATTTTTAGCTTTATATAAAAGGAAAAGCAGCATTTGTGAAAAAAGTATGCCTAAAAATAGATATTTTGTTTAATAGAAGAGTTTTTTTTCGGCAGTTTTGTTGAATATTGATAGTTGGTTTTTAGAAATTACATTTATGGATTAATCAGAGTTTCTGTTTCATTTCACTTGGAGTTTAAACTGAAAGAAGTCCACTGTACAAACCTTTCCTTGTGAATTTGTCATAATTAGCACATATTTTATTGATAGTGTATAACTTATTAATCAGTGACATACATTGTTATGTCATTATTGTTTTATAAATAAACATACCCTCATTTGTTTCATTATTGAAAAATAGTGTTATTATGAGAAAAAATGTATTTACTAAAATATTCAACTTGGAGTTTGTGTTTTACCTGTTGTAAAAATTTTACAGTTTTTATAATTTGTCAATCCTTTTATGATATCCTCCCCATTACTGATTTACAAGATCGGTTTTAAGTTAGTACTAGGTATAGTGGGAATATTGTGTATACTTATTTAAACAAAATTTTTAAAAATTGTAGTAGCACTAGTAGTTGTTTCAACGGAGAAACCATAACCAAAATATATGCTCCATTTTCTTTCTGTAATTTAAATTGATGTTCATGTGTAGAAATTTAATATCAGTATTCTATTTGAAGTGTCATATTTATATTAAATTTTATTAACAAAAATATTGAAATTGATTTAAGTTTTTTAAAAATATTACTTTTTGCAAATTGCAAAATTTGATGTGTATTGTGTGTATTGTTGAACTTCTTTTTCTCTTTCCCAGGGCATTCTAGAATATTTATGTCTTTGAGGATCATTTTTACGAAACTCCACATGTACATAATTTCAAAATTTGAATTCAATGACATATTTTATATACTACACACTTTCTCTCTCTCTTCACATATATTCAGAATTTAACATCTACCTGTGTAATTGAAACCATATTTATAATTTTTTTTCCAGT